CTTCCCCACTTTTATGGCATTTGGTGTATAATGAGTAGTGCCCCCCGGAGGAGTTCAGCAGCGACTTCAAAGGAGAACTAGCCCCAGCAGGTGACCACCGTAGTTTCACTCAAGCTAGGAAAACAAACAAAACGCGGGACTAACTGACACTGGAGTATCCTAATGGGATATCTTATGTAATTCCCCATTGCTGGTCAGGTGGGGTACTAGGCCATTTTAAGAAAGCTTTTGAAGTTTCAAATATTAATGAGCTCCAAGCAGCAGGTTCGCCAATTGATAAACCATTTAAGAACAGAATACTACATTTGCTGTGTAAACTATAGCATTTTATTCTAGTTCTGGAATGTTTTGGATGGATTAACACAAAATGATTTTTGTACTTTTTAGAATGTGTGTCTGACATTTAAATTTCAATAAATATTACAGTATTAATCTCCACGTCCGACGGTGCAGACGTGTAAAATTATTTGCCCTGAAGACGGTTGCCGAAGTGCAACCGAAATATATTGGAAAAAATAAAAAATAAAATTTAAAAACTTTTATTTATAACATTTTTCAATTGTTGACCCTTAGCCGGAAAAACTCAAAAATTTAAACATACATCAAAGGTCGCCTACAAACAAAATTAAATATTTTTAAAAAATCCGTTTAGTCTTGGTAATTTTAAACATTATAATTTGCAATTTAACTGGACAATATAACCGTAAATTAAGGTAAAATAAAATTCAATTTAGGTCAAATTAAATGAAATAAGAAAGGCCGTTACATTAGACAAACCGAAGCTTGTATACCCTTACCACTTTTACAAATATGAAATACTCCACCAAACGACATTATTTATATATTCATTGTTTATAACAACGCTATGACAATTTTCGGAACAATTTTTTGGTCGCTCCAACTTGGGCTTTATAATATAGTCGTAACATTTAAAAAATTTTAATTATTGTTTTAATAAATTTAAAAACATAGTGTTTGTTTTAATTATAACATATTATAAATATTTGTTATGTTTGTTAATTCGTTACTTTCACAATTACTTGTGAAACATATTCATTAATAAGAGTATTTGTGGATATACACTCAAAATAAACCTTTTTGGGTAAAGAAATGCAGTTTAGTTTCACTTTGTATCCTAATGATGTTGGTCAATCTGGTTTTGCTTGACCAACGGCAGCTGATGATGCTGCTTCTGGGGAAAATAATGATGAGGATGACTGCAACAGCAGCCAAAATATATCTGAGGGCTGGGAATTAACACATTCGCCTCCTCCAGGCGCGTGCCTGTTCCACCTTCCCGTGCATTTATCAAAAGTCCGCCGGACCGACCCACCGAACCGCCGGCTATATTCCTATATTGCTATATAGCTGTATAGATAGCTATCGGACTGGGCTAACCCTCATGGAAGTGCCAAAATGTGCAACGCCGTCAGCGGAAGAAAGGAAGGAAGGATGAACTGAATCGGGGAGGGGTTCGAAGGATACAAAGGACAGGGGACATGCAGCTACTCAGGCACAATGGGATGGTCCCGATTCACTGTCAAGGTAATTTATTAATTCGACAATAAAAACGCACGAATTCTTGGGCTGAGCTCTGGATTCACATTTTGGGTTGGATTCGGGTTCACAATCGGATTCGAGATGGGGTGTGTTGTGGTCGGACACTCGCATGTGGGCCTTACAACTCAATTAAAGTTGCCGGGGTCCTGGACGCTGAGCCTGCTGCCTTTCCTTGGATAACCGGGGTGAGCTAAGTATTTTATGGCCATGTGTTGGCTTCGGATTAAACCCGATTGAGCCGAAAGTCAATCGATCGTAAGTGAGAAAGTTAAGTGGTTTTACTAAACCCGCCAATAAAATTCAATAAAAATTAAATAATTGCTTTAAAAGTCTGTTTATAGTGTAGCAAAAAATGTTTTTTAAATTGTGTCAATAATATGCTTGTTAAATAAATCCCTTCACAAACTTATTAACTGCAATCTAAATGTTTATGGTATGTTAAGTTGAATATAGATTACAATTGTTCTTTTATAAATGGTTAAAAAAAAATATGAGCATAAATCTAAAGAAAGTAAAAAGGCTATACTTCGTTTTAACATCCAGGAGGTGTTATCTTAGGATTGAGATAAAATCATAATTTAAGAGCACAAATTGAGTTAACGATAAGAAATAACCAATAAAGAAGCTGCATTTTTCAAAAAACCCTCCTTGGGCTTATACATATTTTATTTATGTGGACGATTAGTTGTATATCCCACTCCATATCGTTCACTGATTGTTAAATTTTCTTTAAAACCAGAAAGTCGGCTCACATTCACTGGCACTATAGCAATCACAGGACATCAGGGAAAAGCGAGCTGCAGTCTGGCGTACTCTCTTCTGTCAAACTGAAAAACGCCATAAATTTTGTGCAACAATGGAAGCTGCCAGCGGATGGGGATGGGGTACGGGTTGTTCGGGGAGTGGACTTGGGGTAGGAGTAAATTTCGCACATGCACAAACATCACACATATGCCAGGACTATCGATATGTTAGGGGTGTTCAACGGGGGTGGCTGATAAAATTCCCGTCCGCGTAAGCCGATCAGAAAGTCATGTAAACACAAAAAGTGCCGGAGATGTGATTGTTTTTTTAGCAGTCAATTTAGCTGAGCGGCTTTCGGTTATACGCAAATAGCATTTAAGCCAGGAAGTGAGAAATCTTATGAATAATTGTAGGGCTGCAAAATAAGCCAAGTCATTTAAATTTTGTTGAAAAATATTTAATACAATAATAAAAGTTGTGGGAAATATAGGAAGTGGTTTAATTAAGACAAGACAATCTTGAAATTATACAAAAAATTTGGAGATATATTAACGGAAAATTAAGCTGCAGCTGTAGTTGAACTTTTTAATTTAATTTATTTAGATCGTTTTAATGCAAGTCGTGTGTGTTATATCTTGGATGTCCTGGTGATGCTGATCAAGAATATATAAGTCGGACTTATATACTTTTACTCTACGAGTAACGGGTATAATTAAAATCAAACATCTACATCATACAGCTCAAATAAAAAATTTTTTACAAATTTAAATAAAAATTTATTTTGCTGTTTTTCTAAAACGGACAACAATATCCTATATCTGTCATTGTTTGTATACCCTTGCAGAGGCTATTATAATTTTGGTCAAAAGTGTGCAACGCAGTGAAGGAGACATCTCTGACCCTATAAAGTATATATATTCTTGATCTTGGCCAATCTATCCGACATACCAAATTTCATAAGGATCGGCCGACTATATCCTATAGCCGCCATATAACTGACCGATCGGAAATGCCATAACTTTTGTGTTTGTTAAGTTAGGAAGTTGGGATTTTCTATTTATTTTATTTTTGGCCAATCAATTCGACCTACAAAATGTCATAAGGATCGGGCGACTATATCCTACAGCTGCCACATAACTGAACGATTGGAAATGCCATAACTTTGGTGTTTTTAAAGTTAAGAAGTTGGGATTTTTTATGAGTATTAAGAATGCATCATATAATTAGTTTTGGAGAATATAATTCACAGAATATTCTGCAAGGGTATATCAACTTCGGCTCCGCCCGAAGTTAGCTTTTCTTTCTTGTTTCTAATGATATAATAACTGCAAGGGTATATAAACTTCGGCTTGCCTAACTTTTTGCACAGATATATTAATGGACAATATCAACAAAAAATGCGTATGTCTTTTTTTTTTAAAAAAATTTCAGTTACCACAAAGACGAGGTGGTCTCGTCGTTTTCACTTAAAACTATAAAGTAAGCAAGTATTAGGGAGAATAGACTTACATATATCCCCTTACAGCTAATACAAAAATTATTTTTAAAACCGTAAGTCTGAAATTTTAGAAAGCTACTTGGTCTTGAAGCACATCCGAATATTTTAAAAAATAGCGAAGTTATATTTTATTTTCAAATTCTATTTCAGATAGTTCCTTTGGAAGCTAAATATATTACATGGTTATATGATCCGGCCTGTTCCAACTTATATAAAACTGAATATAAAGAAGAATTTTGGGAAAAACAGAAAGACGGAAAAGGCTATATAGACTCTACTGATAATGCTAATATATATTTAACAGTGTCGAATATGTCTCCTTCGCTGGGTTGTCTTAAATTGCAATAAAAGGTTATACAAAATGTTCAGGTTTATTTAAATTCAATTTTGTTAAGAAAAAGTGTTGTTTTTTTTAGCAGTCAATATGGCAGGCATGTTTCGGTTTTTGGGCAAATACCAGCCTTAGGAGTGAGTTTCGGACCGGGAGTTGCGCACTTGCTTGGCCACGAGGGCAAACAAAAAGCGCAAACACGCGACGTCGGCCACGCGCAATCGCCGTTTCAGGGATCGGACGTAATGTTATCCTTTGGCCGCCCAGTGCCGCGGAATAAATTCGGAGGGAAAGGGCGGCGGATTCCGGGAACAACTGGCAGCCAGTCGTCGTTGTCGTCCTCCCGCGCTGCCAAAAATCCAGAGAAATTTTTAGGGAACCATAAACGAACGGGCCGGGAAAAAGCCTCTCTGCCGAGGGAACGTTTTCAGCAACAGTTTACAGATCCTTTTTATGTCTTTATGATTATTGCAATTAGAGGGAGATCGGCCCTCTCGCTCTGCGCACCTCATAGGTAGGCATCTCATGGCAGTAATTACTGCCGAAGCAGCGTCTCAAGGTCGCCGCGGAGGGGAAGTGCGCGGGCGGATAACTCGCGATGATAATGGGCGCGATGGGTAGGTAATAAGCAGCGCAGCAGGTAGGCCGCATACGGATAAAGTCTGCAGGACCTCGGATAACTTCCCCTCGCCGGCAATGCAAGGACATTTCCCGGGAGGGGTGGTTGCGAACAGCAGGCGGCAAAGTGTCATGCGCAGGGATATTTATGCGCTATAACGGCGAGCGTGTGCCGAGAGCACTCTGATTTTGCTATATATGCAGGATCTGCGGCAGGACCAGCTCATTCGCAAACCCACCAGCGTTGCGTGCACATCGCAGTTAGAGCAGTTTAGTAACTTACACACACACATATCCGAGATGGCCACCACCAACAGCCAGCAGAGCCATTACAGCTACGCCGACAACATGAACATGTACAACATGTACCACCCCCACAGTTTGCCGCCCACCTACTACGATAACTCCGCCAGCAACGCCTACTACCAGAACAGCTCGAGTTACCAGGGCTACCAGGGCTACTACCCCCAGGAGAGTTACTCCGAGAGCTGCTACTACTACAACCAGGAGCAGGCGACCGTGACCAGCCAGACCCTGCCCACCACCCCCCCGCCGAAGAGCGCCAAACGCAAGGCCGAGGAGGATGCCGCCTCCATTATCGCCGCCGTCGAGGAGCGACCCAGCACCCTGCGCGCCCTGCTCACCAACCCCGTGAAGAAGCTGAAGTACACCCCCGACTACTTCTACACCACCGTGGAGCCCGTGAAGAAGGCCCCGGCCTCCAAGGTCGCCGCCAGCCCCGCCCCCAGCTACGAGCAGGAGTACGTGGCCGTGCCCACGCCCTGCGCCTCCGAGGACGTCGACTACCTGGACGTCTACTCGCCGCAGTCGCAGTCGCAGAAGCATCTGCAGAATGGCGACTTTGCCACCCCGCCGCCAACCACGCCCACCTCCCTCCCGCCCGTCGAGGGCATCAGCACCCCACCCCAGTCGCCGGGGGAGAAGTCCTCGTCAGTCGTCGGCCAGGAGATCAATCATCGCATTGTGACAGCCCCGAACGGAGCCGGCGATTTCAATTGGTCGCACATCGAGGAGACTCTGGCATCAGGTAGGCATCGTTCCACCCCTAAAAATGCACTATAGTAGTTCAAAATATTGAAAAGAAATATATGAATATATTTTGAATATTTTCAAAAAAACATTAAAATGAACCAATAGCTAACCCATCTTTCTCCCATTTGTTGCTTACAGATTGCAAAGACTCGAAACGCACTCGCCAGACGTACACCCGCTACCAGACCCTCGAACTCGAGAAGGAGTTCCACTTCAACCGCTACATCACCCGGCGTCGTCGCATCGACATCGCCAATGCCCTGAGTTTGAGCGAAAGGCAGATCAAGATCTGGTTCCAGAACCGACGCATGAAGTCCAAGAAGGATCGCACGCTGGAGAGCTCCCCGGAGCACTGTGGTGCCGGCTACTCGGCGCTGCTGCCTCCTCTGGAGGTTGCGGCCACTGCACCACCCATGTACCACCAGCACCACCAGGCCACTGCCACAGCCACCGCCACAACCACCACCTACCCCGCCTACAACCACAGCCATGGCCACAGCTATGGAATGCTGAACGATTACCCACAGCAGCAGCAGTACGAGGCCTACCCGCAGCAGTACCCGCAGCAGTGCAGCTACCAGCAGCATCCGCAGGACCTGTACCATCTGCCCTAAGCTCCCCGGTGCGGATGAGTACCGCCGCCGTACCGCCACCCGACCGAAGCGCACTTCCCTCGACCATTTGTAGGTGACACGCAAATGGCGAAAGCCGAGAACGAAGCTGCGAAGCGATGAGTCGCACAGTAGAGGGCGCAGCGCACTCCCCATGGTGCCCAGGGCCTTTGGGCACAAGGACGAGTGCGGCTGTGCAGCGGCAGAGAGGCGCAGGCAGACCTGGCAGCCTCTGCCTGCGCGCCGTGAAAGGACGAGGATCCTTGCTGCGAGCGGAACCCAGTGGCTGGCCATGATGGGTTCTCAGCGATCGATTAGCTGCGGCCAAACACAAACCCAAAACACTCAGCTGGGAGGCCGATAATGGCCAACAGACTTGGAGACTGACACATGTTTTTGTACAGCTAGTTGTTAAGCCAAAAGTATATTAGATTCCTATTTATTGAAATATATAGTAAACCGATCGAATTTAAACTAATTAAATGGCATATTTATTGGGGGAGTTGGAGGAATTAACTCTGGTTGATATGCACGATTTAAATAAATTTTTATTTGTGTAATCTAAAATTCAAATTTCGTTAGGCAAGTGCCTTACATACCTCAGGGCGCGGCTTAACACCTAAATGTTTGCCATTTATAATAACTTGCTTGAAAATGAACCAACTTATTATGTGTCAATGCATGAATGACACAAAACTCAATATCACCACTTTAGAAGAAATCAACAAAACGGTATTTTCGGGATGTTAAAACCTATTCCCACGGCTGTCCAAAGTTGTATCTTTTGAGTTAAGAGTGCTTGAGCAGTAAAAAAAAGGAGCATTTCCAAAAATTGCGGTAACGGGTTGTTGTACATATTAGGCTCCTCTATCGAAATACCTCTTTTTTTATAGATGACCCTTTTTATATATCTGATTCTATTTCCTTATTAGCATTTTACAAATAAAAAAACAATTTGTAATTATTATTTAATGTTCCGTCTTTGCATATTTGTTAAGCGACCAACTGTGTTTTAACTAACATAACCGCCATTTTGGAATCCATATTAAAGTATATTAAATATACTTGTAAGTATACTTAATTTAATAAAAACATATAGAATATATCAGAAGATATAGATATTATCAGAGTCATTACAATCTAGCTTTGTTTACATTGCATAACTAAAAGACGAAGTGTTTGCTTAACACATTTTTTTGAAACTTATTGCCTATCTGATGAATTATTTCTAATAAATTGCATTCTTTGATCGCTGCAACCACCCGTCTGATTTTTGCAGAACTTATGCGAAGAGCAAACGATTCAATGTTGAGCCCGAAACGTGCAAATTCGAGCAGCTGCATTTTCTCGCCTTGATCCCCTCATCCCCGTCCCATGGCTATCTCTCGGATTCTCTATAAAATGCACTCTTTTCGCCAGGAAAATGTCACATTTTGGTCGGCCTCGGGTATATCTACCACCACATCCCCGGCTCCCTTCCTCCCCTTCGCCGCTGTTTGTGCGTCTATTGAAGTGAGACATTGATTGGTCATTTTTCATTGCTCACCCGTGACAGTTATGGGTAACGCAACGCAAAAGAAAAGCCGGATTCCGATCCGGAATCGGAATCAAAGGAAAGGGAGCCATGTGCAGTCGCATTTTCCGGCATCATTTATCCGACTCATTAGATAAAAGTGGACAGTGGGTGAGCAGTGAGCACGGAGTAGCATCTGTGGGCCTTTGATAGAGTTAGGTGCGAAATGGCATTTGGTTAGCATCTGCAATTCAGGCCTTGAAAGTTATAAGAGTTACATAAGCTATATATACTCTCAGTTTATCACTAATTAAGCAGAATTAAATTTTCTAAATAAATTTAAAAAATATATATATATATTTTTTATTTAGAAACTTTTTTTTGTCAATCCTTTAATTAATCTTTTTGAAAATGATTGTTTTTATTTTGAATAACTTTTAATTTTTATTCCGGAGAACCTTAACATTAAGCACATGTATTACGACGATATAGTTGCTAAATTTAGATAGAATTTTCTTAGCTCATAAATTATTAATATTTAATAAATATTTTCATATCTTCAATTATTTTTAATCGCAGGGCAGCTGCATTATAGACTCGTGCACATTTATTGATTACATTTAATTTTGATAACCTTTAAATGCGTATTGACATAGAAAGAGACATATGTACATTATATGTTCTTAATATTATTCAAATTTCTGGCATTAATAAAAAAATCCCATTCAACGCTGGAGAATTAGATTAATATATTTTGTCTTCAAAAGTTATAATTGTTGGTCATTTTACAGTTCGACAGCCATCCTGACTTACCTAAATGCATAGTCGAGAGAAATAAAATTCAGCAAATTGTTTATGGTTTCCAAAAAGTCAACTTTTTCTTTGGCCAACATTAAGCAAGCAGATTTCAAAGGTCCTTTGTAAATTCCGTAAAGTCATTCCTAGCCCTTTAGTCAACATTAAGTAAACGAAGTTGCAAGGACTTTTTACGGTTTCTTCAGAGTCAACATTCCTTTTTTAAATGTTTCTCCAGAACTTCAAGCAACACCCAAGAAGTGGTAAAAGATTTACGTGTAAATTGCGAAAGAGTTACGTTAACTCTTCCCAAGTCCTTCCGCGAAGCGAAGCCTTTTTTATCCTTTTTATTCGCATTTCGCTTTATTAGAGAGCCCCGGAGTCGGTTCTTAACTCATTCGCGAACCATAAAACCCGAGATTCGCGGAAGGAGTCGTCGTTGTGGGCGGAATCCTTTTGCAGGCCCGATTCAGTCAAGGCTGCAAAGTCAATCCTTTAGCATAATCCTTTAAATAGCCAAAATAAAGCCCGCCTTTGTCAAAACAATGCGCTTCGCTCGCAAAATTCGCATTTGCGAATAGGCGGTGCCATTGTGTCCACTTAGCCGGCAGGTACCGCCTTCTCGCAGTCCTCGGGTTCCGAAGATTCCTCCGCCTGCACAGATATCCCTTCCACCAGCCTCAACCATAACGATCGTAAAGTTATCCTTTCGCAAACACGAGCACACGGTTACCTCCTTAAGCTGGCGAAGGAGTTACAGAGTCATAAAAACAAAACACCTTTGTCCGCGCAGCATTGTCGGTTGGCGAATTATCCTTTCTGTCGCCGCTGCCGAATCCTTAATCCGCGTTGTGTTTACAGCCAGTTGGAGGGAGATGGACCTACAAAACAGATAGAGATAGTAGGAAATTCGCAAATGACTCGACCCTGGCGAAAGGGGAAGGGAAATGACAGGCTAGAATTGGAATGCCGAGGGTATCGGAGGATAAGCCTTTCGCTGGAAAGGATTAAATTACATTATCCTTATGTTAAAGATAAACACGAAGCGGCTAATCCAAAACATTAGATCAAGCGTGATATTCTAATTAACTATTTATAAGTGTATTGTTCATAATTTAAAAATAAAATATGTATAAAATCAAGTTGCTTCTGATACAAATATATTTAGGTGTTGAAAAATATTAATTTAAATACCGTATAAGCAGAAATAGCCTGTTTAAAAATGTATGCCTTATTATTATTGTTTCCTTATACATTTTTGCTTAAAACATTTATTTTTAAATTATTATTTAAGGACTTTGGTTAAATGAGAAAACCCAACATATTTAAAAACATAAATAAAATATGTACGAGTTTCAAAAAGCTGAGACTAATTATAGTTTAATTATAGTTTATAATTGATAACAAAACAATTTTGTTATGACAGGAACTATTATTTCCCACACTGAAATGTATTGGTTTTGTCATGCATGTATGTATACCCGTGAAATTTATATTTATAATTGAATATTAACATATTTACAATTGATAAGTTCATAAAGCATGTTTTACAACGCTGACAAGGGTAGGTATTAACCACACACTTGAAAATCTCATTCAAATTACGCTCCTGTCATATTATCACCGTACAGGAGATGATAATCGAGCTGGTATAGCGATATCCAAACCACTTCGGCAAGTCATCGTGGAGGTCAGCACTTTTGCTGCCGCCGCACCCTTTGTTGTGATGGCCATATATTTATGGCGCTCAAAAAGCAATTAATTGTGACCCAAATCAACAATTTCCGAATGGCTGGCAATATCAACACGGCAGCCCGATCTAATGGCCCGGCAAATGCCACCGATCTCCGTGGACCAAGACGTAGGAAAAGGAATGGATATATATGCACGTAGTGGGAATGGTAATGAGATCGAGATCGGCATGGCCTGGTATGCTGCATGAGTTATGGCCACCACGGTAAGATGTCGTTCCAAATGCTTCATTTCTATGCACACGTAGAGAAATCCTAACATCATTTAATTTCCGCGTTATCAGCTGGATGATTTCTTATTTTTATTTAATACCAAATTATTTTTGGCTTATCAGTTAGATAAAAAATCAAGTACTTATTAAATCTTATCTTGAAAGTAGTTATAAACATTTATCTAAATAAATTCAAATTTGTATATTTTATAATTTACTATGTAAATTGAAAAATTGAAAATTGAAAAGTTATGTGCGGACGTTATCTTAAGCGTTTATTTAAATAAATATCTTTCTGCTATTTAACTGTGGTTTTATATAAAAAAAATAAATAAATTAATTCGCATTTTGAAGTGGTGATGAAGAAAAAAAGTTATGGAAATGTTTAAATAAATACACACTTGACCAGAAACGTTAATGATTTTTTCCTGTGCATAAACTATGTTTATGTTGCTTGTACTTTCCACGGAATATCCAAGCCGAACTCCGATGAAATCAGCGCCAAAACCAAAACCAAAACTAAACCAAACCTGATCGCCTGCCAGCGGCTAGATCAGTGCTGAACCCTGCCCCAGCCAGAGGTTAACATCAATATGGTAATAAGCCATATCACATCGACTGAGAACCCCCGATCCCAAGCGATCCTCATTCGAGTATGAAGCTGTGGGATTTATGAGTTCACCGAATGCTTTATGGCGTGTCGCTTTGACTAATTTATCTGCAAAAGGCGACGGCGCTGGC